TATCTATCTATCTATCTATCTATCTATCTATCTATCTATCTATCTATCTATCTATCTATCATTTATCACCTATCATCTTTCAAAAATGTGAATAACCTGCCCCTAAAAATGAGATGATATCTAATTCAGCATCCCATTCTAAGGTTAGCATGTTTTTTTAAAAATAATCATTGGGAGTTTTTTTCCATTTCAGTGATGAAAAATTTCATCTATTTTGATCATTTTTCATTTTCAAAAAACATAGCTGAACAAACATTTGACTGTCTGCCCCATAATTTTTAACTCCTTTTGAATGAAATAAAAAGACAGATGGAAGATTTGACCATGCATTGTCTGCCTTACACGTTCTAAGCCTGTTAGATTCTATTAAAATAGCAATTTATGAATTTATTTTAGGATAAACATTTTGTACAAAGTCCCATGGGAAAACATTTCATATGAAGTCCCATTCGTCCACTCACAATAGAATTCCCTATGCCTCCAGGCTCGAAATTTTGGGCCTGGACAATCTAGAACTGCACCTCCTGAGGTATAATCTAAGCATAGTACACAAAATTGTCTGTTACAATGTCTTATCTGTTAACAACTTCTTCAGCCTCAATCACAATAATACATGGGCAAACAACTGATACAAATTCAAGGTAAACTGCTCCAAACTCAACTGCAGAAAATACAACTTCAGCAACAGAGTGGTCAACACCTGGAATGTCCTACCAGACTCCATGGTTACAGCCTCAACCGCTCACAGCTTCAACCTCAAACTGTCTACCATGGACCTCACCCCATTCTTAAGAGGTCCTTAAAGGGGGCGTGCATAAGCGCACCAGCGTGCCTACCATCCCTGTCTTACTGTCCCCATTTATCTGTATTTACCCCCATTGCCTTGCTTATGTTCATACTTGTACTTGTTATCTTGTACATGTTTGGCAAACAAATAAATAAAATAAATAAAAATAAAATGTTAGTTTCTCTGTTCTTTCTTAAATTTCTTTGACTACTTCCTCCATTTTTTCCCGTTTTTATGAGAATATCATTTGGACTTATAGATCTCAGGTACACCATGAAATTGTTCACCATTGCTTTTCATGGTTGGCTTGTTGTTGTTATTGTTGTTGTTGTGGTTTAGTCTCACTTGTGTATTTCATCCTCTTGGATCTGCTGAATGATTCTTGGTTTTAACATGGATATTCTTTTTAGGGGACTAAATAAGCAATATATCACTTTGGCAGTTCCTAAGGTTCTTTCTGTTCCACATTTGTCCTGTTCTTCTTGAAGATACTTTCTGTCTCCATCTTCTGAGAAAGAGATGGTTTTAAAAGCTTGGTCCCTGACCAAGAACTGCTGTATGGCACTACAACTATACCTGGCAATTACTTTCAGCTTGTACTGCAACAAGCTTTGGGTCCTGCCTGGAAAAGAAAGAACCAGGAGTTCTAGCAGCTGTTGCACTGTGGAGTACTGCCAAGTTCCATCACCATAGCAACAGCATCAGCACCATCCACATCCTCCTCCTGCTCCTTCTCCTCCTCCTCCTCTTTAGCATCATCAGTATCAGGAAAAGCAGCAGCAGTCCTGGTAGAAGCCAGAGGCTGGTAGCATTGGCTGCATTTTTACAAACTGGCTTTGTCGGACTGCTCAGCCGCTACAACCGAGAGATGCAGCAATCACTACTCTGCCGTTTCCTGGAAGATGGACAGATAGAAAAGGAGGGAGAAAGAAAGAGATGAGAAGAGTGCACTGCAGAGAAGCCAAAGGATACCCAGGTAAATATCCCCACCTCCTCATTTCTGTTCACCAATCTCTTTCCTTTGGTTGCATTGGGATTATTTATGTATCTTTTTGATTGCTAGTACCTTTAAAATAAATAATATTTTTCCCTATCAGCAATGCCTGCTTCCTCCCCCTTCTTCTTTCATTCTTTCTTTCTTTCTTTTTTTAAGAGAAGCTTCAGTTTTTCCTCCTTTATCAGCAACTGGGGGTGTGGGAGGAAATCGCAAATGTTCAAAAAGCAAATGAAACAAGCTTTGTCAAATGTTGATGTAGGTTGTTGAAGGGAGATGCTACGGAAGAGACACAGTATGGTACGCTGAGAAGGTGAAAAAGATGCTGGCAGAGTTTATTCGGAATAAAAAGTGAGCAGTTGCTTAGATAAGAGGCTGACATAGCAGCAGATAATCTTCTTAAACACACACACACACACACACACACACACACAGAGGGGGGATATTGCTACACTTTGGTAGAATATCTGTCAGAGTGATTTAATTGACATTGACTCAGATCTGTTTGTGTCTCCCTGCCTGTCTGTTGTTGGTGTGTATGTAAATCCCGTATACTGCCTGCAATGCCAAAGGGTTACATATTGGGAAAATAAGAAAAAACAAAGCTAAGAGGGAATTAGAGGAGGGGGGGGGAGATGAGATCATGAAAGCTCATGTTATCAAAACACTGGGTTACATAGTTGATGCCTTAGCATGCGTCAGAGTGTTGGGTCACCTAACATAGTATTAGATACACAGAGAGATATCCCCTTGCTCCAAGGTTCACTTATCCTCTTCAGCTCTTCTGATGTTTCAGCAATAGAAATCGATAGCAAGAGAGATTGTTTGTAATCTTCCCTCTACCAAACATGTGCACCTGACTTGAGTCAAAGGTATGTTCAGTCTAGTGTGTCTCAGAGAGTGGACAGTCTTGCGTGCCCACCGTCCAGAATCTTCAGTTCAGGGATAGATTCATTTCAGGGTTGTTTTTTGGAACGGGGGACTAAAGTGGACCACAATATTATACACCTTTAAACTGGGAGTAAATCCTGGTTACAACACTCAGACTTATTTGGAGCGAGGAAGTCCACAATTCTGCAGCAAATCCAGTACATCCCATACAAGTTGAAAGAAGAGCAATTAGTTGCATTTTTCACCCTAAATATAACTTGCGCATTAAGATCTACAACCACACCATCTCTTGACTGTGCTCGTATGATTGATTCAATCAATCAATCAATCAGAATACAGCTGGAAGAGACCTTTGACCTCCTGCTCAATCAGAAGACTCAATACCATTCCAGACAAGTGGCTGTCCAGGCTCTTCAGTTCAGGGATGAATTCAGTTCAGATTTTTTTGGAACAGTGACTAAAGTGGACCATAATATTATGCACCTTTACATTGGGAGTGAATCCTTGTTACAGCACTGAGACTTATTTGGGGTGAGCAAATCTGTGATTCTGCAGCAAATCCAGTGCGTCCAGTATAATAGTGCTTGAAAGAAGGACTATTGGTTGCATTTTTCCCCTAAATGTAAGCTGTACATTATGATCCACGTTCACTCCATCTCTCATCAGTGTTCCTATGATTCAATTGATCAATCAATTAATCAATCAGAATAGAGCTGGAAGGAACCTTGGAGGTCTTCTAGCTGAATCCCCTGCTCAACCAGGAGATCCAATACCATTTGAGACAAGTGGCTGTCCAGACTTTTCTTAAAAGCCTCCAGTGATGAAGCACTCACAATGTCTGAAGGCAAGCCGTTCCACTGGCTAATTTTTCTCCCTGTTAGGAAGTTTCTCCTTAATTCCAGGTTGCTTCCGTTCTTGATTAGTTTCCATCCACTGCTTCTTGTCTTGCCTTCTGGTGTGTTGGAGAATAAGTTGACCCTCTCTTCTTTGGGGTAACTGCTCAAATATCCACCAGCCGGAATTCTAGGACTTCTACACTTCTAATTTTGTTCCTGACTTGAACAGATTCTTCTTTTCTTATGGGTAAACTGCTTGATCGTTTGTATTAACAAACCTAGAATGGGAAAGTTGAAAGGGGAATTTGGGTCATCGAATTGTGCCGCCTCTTAATGCAAGTATTTCAATCCAGTCTCAGCTTGAACATACTCAGTGCGGAGAACCCATAACAGGTAGCCCTTCACTAACAACCATTCATTTAGTGAATGTTCAAAATTACTACAGCACTGAAAAAAGAGACTTATGATTGGTCCTTTCACTTACAACCATTGCAATATCTCTAGCCATTCAATCAAAATTCAGCAATTGGCATTTATTTATGATGATTGCAGCATCCTGAGATCACACGATTGCTATTTGAAAGCTTCCCAGCTGACTTCCAACAAACAAAGTCAGCAAAGGAAGCCACATTTGCTTAACAATCATGGCAAAATAAAAGTCATAAAACTGGGCATGTTTCAATTAACCATTGCCTTCCTTAGCAATGGAAATGGGCCCAATCGTAAGTTGATGACTACCTGTGTCAATGGTGAAAAAGTACGGCTCTACATTTTGGCAAGAAAAACAAAAGGCACAGGTACAGTACATGTGGTACCTTGCTCAATAGTAGTAACTTGGAGTCTTAGTGGACAATCACTTAAATATGAGCCAGCACTGTGCTGCAGCTGCCAAAAAAGCCAACACAGTTCTAGGCCGCATAAACAAAGGGACAGAATCAAGATCATGTGAAGTGTTAATACCACCTTATAATGCCTTGGTAAGGCCACACTTGGAATGCTGCATTCAGTTTTGGTTGCCACAATGTAAAAAAGATGTTGAGACTCTAGAAAGGGTGCAGAGAAAAGCAACAAAGAGGATTACAGGACTGGAGGCTAAAACAGATAAAGAATAGTTGCTGGAACTGGGTATGTCTAGTTTGATAAAAAGAAGGACAAGGGAAAACATGATAGCAGTGTTCCCATATCCCAGGGGCTGCCACAAAGAAGTGGGAGTCAAGTTATTCTCCAAAGCACCTGAGGGTAGGACAAGAAGCAATGGGTGGAAACTAATCAAGGAGAGGAGCAACTTAGAACTAAGAAGAAATTTCCTGACAGTTAGAAAAATTAATAAATGGAACAACTTGCCTCCAGAAATTGTAAGTGCTCCAACACTGGAAGTTTTTAAGAAGAGATTGGATAATCTTTTGTCTGAAATGGTGTAGGGATTTCTGCCTAGGCAGTGGGTTGGATTAGAAGACCTCCAAGGTCCCTTCCAATTCTGATTCTATTCTATTCTATTCTATTCTATTCTATTCTATTCTATTCTATTCTATTCTATTCTACTCTACTCTACTCTACTCTACTCTACTCTACTCTATTCTATTCTATTCACCTGTACTTCCAGGTAACCTGAGTTATTTCACAATAAATTGTTATTTATACTTAAGGAGTCAAAGTTGAAAAATTCCAAAATAAGTTGGATATTACTTTTAAATTGTACCTGAAAACATAGAACTTACCAGGCCTTAAAAATCAATCAAATCCAGAGAAAAATAAGATGGAGAATATTCTGGTGTGCTTAGGAATGCACCCATTTTTTCCCATCTCTCTGTGTGCAACGGCCAGTTACAATCCTACCTTCATCATTCCTGCCAACAGAAATGGCAAGAGATATTTTCTTACAAATTGAGGATTATGTAGCAGATAAAAATAATGCATAATAGTAAAAAAAAAAATTAGTGGCCTGTAGGGGATTACCAGGATGAGCCTGAGGGAGAGGTCAAAGACGTTAGCGGTCTCGAAACACCTTCGTGCTGGCAAGAGATCTAAATCCAGTCCTTTGTATTTGACTTTGACTTTTATCTACTGCCTATTTGCTTTGACCATTAATAAGTCAGATTCTTGTAGAGAGCTTAAGCTTGCAGTGCATTTTTATTCCCATTTGAACTGTTTGGATCTTCTGATTTCCCCGGCACTTGACAGGACTTGTGTTACTTTGTGTGTCTATGTGTGTTTGTAGAAATGGACTTACCCATGTGTGACTTTTAGAGAATGAAATAAATTGATAGTGTTTCATTTCTCCTGTGAGATACATTTAGGACAAAAGGGACAGTCATTGTGACTCTTGACTCTTGATGAATGTATCTCTTATTTTATGTACACTGAGAGCATTAGCACCAAGACAAATTCCTTGTGTGTGCAATCACACTTGGTCAATAAAGAATTCTATTCTATTCTATTCTATTCTATTCTATTCTATTCTATTCTAT